GCAGTGGGTACTTAAAGTATAGGTGTTAGGGAATTGAGCAAGGAAAAGAAGGAAACATAATTAGGTCAGAGCTCAGGAAAAAGAGCTTAGAACAGCTCAGAATGTGCTCTGGCTTGAAGGGTTAGAAGAGTGACTGTCAACAGGCTTCAGTGGGTCCCAAACCAGAGAATGCTTTTGTTTCTCTAAGAAAAAGGTCAGAAATGGCAATGAAGTGCCAATCTTAAGATAAGGCTTTCCTGACTTAGAAGTCCCTGGACAGTGTAAACAGTAGGCAAGCTTGGCTGCTAACTGACAGGTGGGGAGTTTGAGTCCATCCAGAGGTGCCTTGAAAGAAAGGCCTGGGGATCTACTTCTGAAAGGTCACAGTTACTGAAAACCTGACGGAGCACACTTTTGTTCTGACACACATGGGGTTGCCACGCGTCAGAGTTGACAGTAAGTGTTTTCCCCATCTTATGCAGGGCTGCAGGCCCCTCAGCTTTAGATTGATAATTAGATGTGATTTTCAGCTGCTACTTGAACAATCGGCCAGGTTAGAACCCAGCAGCAATGGCTCTGCAGCCTTGACCAGGGAAGTGAAGACAGTCCTGGAGCTGCAGCTTTCTATAATCTTCCTACAAATTCACCTTCTGCATTGTCCATTTTAGCCAGCCTGTGGGTGGAGTGGGGAGCCTGAGGCTTGTTAGGCAGGAGTGGAGAGCTGGCCTTGGATCCTAGACTGACCAGGACCAGCAGTGTAAGCTGGGACTGGCAGAGACCTACAAGTACCACCAGTTGCCATTAAGGTTTCTCTGATTCATGGTGACCTCAACTCATGGTGTACCCATGTGTGTCAGAGTAGAATTGTGCTCCAAAGGTTTTTTTACTGGCTGATATTTTGGAAGTGAAATGCCCGGGTGGACTTAAACTCCCAACCTTTCAGTTAGCAGCCAAGTCCATTAATCATTTATACCACCCATAGACTCCAAAGGAGCTCTGGTAGCATAGCGCCTAAGGCACTTGACTGCTAACCAGAAGGCTGGCGGTTCATACCCACCAGCCACTCCTGAGCAGGAAGGTTGGGCCTTCTATAGTGATACCACCTCGGAAACCCAAGGAGGGTTTGCTATGAGTCGGGGCCAGCTCGATGGCACATAACAACAATAACAACAACGTAGACTCCAACACACACACTGTTATTGTTAGTTACTGTCAAGTCAGTTCCAACTCATGGCAACCCCATGTGTACAGAGTAGAACTGCTCCATAGGGGTTTTAAGTCTGTGACCATTTGGAAGCAGATCACCAAGTATGTCTGAGTGAGTTCTATCCACCAACCTTTTGGCTCGTAGTCAAGTACTTAACCATTTGTGCCACCCAATTTGTGTATATAGGAGTGCTTCTACATACATCAGTTACTGCTGTTACCCATCCCTCTTTGTGGGGCTTTCTACAACAGTTTGCTGGAGTTTGGCATCCATAGAGGTGGTACATTTAGCTACCCATTCACATCCCTGCATAAGAGAGTATTGTCCTACCATTTTTTTAACCCACTTATTTCATTTTATTAGAAATTTTTTACTATCTTGAAAAAATTAAAAAGGATTATAGGGGAGAGGCTACCAAGCAGCCTGTAGACAATGAAAGTAACAGCAGAATGGACCTCAGTGCTCATCCCCAAGGAGGGGATGGAGAAGGAAAGAATGGATTGGCTGTATTTGCCATGAGACTAGAGAGCCAGCCTCTTTGATAAATGTGCATTAAATATTAAAGGATATAAAATCTGCAATGAATTAGAAGAAAAGATGTGAAAAATAATGTATTTTTGAATTTGTATGGCTCTGATGCATCATAAAAGTACTGACTTATGATTACTAATTCAGGCTTGATGATTTACTTCTCCAGAAATCATGCTCAAGAGCAGTCTAAATGACTTTTCCAGAAAAGAATTGATTTGACTTAATTAATGTTTAGTGAGTCATTAGGGAAAACACTGAAGCCTGAAATACAAAATTGGGTTTCTCTTTCTCTCTCCTTCCCTTCCTTCCTTTCTTCTGACAACAGTGTGGTTGCTTATTGAGAAACATTCAGAGTCTCACTATGGCTTTGCAGGTGGAGATATCTATGAAGGAACTTATGACAGAGAGCTATAAAAAGCAAGAGATGCTGTTCCTGTAAGACTTACACAGCCGTCCCAAGACTGGGAATGTTCTGTTGTTTTCACAGATGCTCTGCTCTTGGAGAAGAATTTCCATCCCTTTGTGGAGCTGCCAGAGAAACAGCAAACAGCTCTGAGAGACATCCTCCAGACAGTCCTATTTGATGATGAATTACTTATGGCCCTGGAAAGAGTGGTAAGACCTGAGACCCCTTGTGGCAATGTCTTTATCCTGGGTTTTCTGGATGCATGAATGGGCTAGACAGGCCTCTTGGGACAAGACTCTGAAATTCTGTTAAAAATTTTCCCCACCTTCTTTTAACCCTAGACCTTGTCACCTTTCACTTTTACTCCCAGACCCAGAGTTTTCTAACTGCAGAAACATAGGTAACATCAGAAATAGAGTGGTATATTAGTTTCCTAGGGCTGCTGCAAGAAATTACCACAAACTTGGTGGCCTGAAACAACAGACATTAAACCTTTCACAGTTCTGGAAGCTGTAAGTCCAAAATCAAGGTGTTGACAGGACCATGCTCCCTCCAAAGGCTCTGGAGGATGACCCTTCCTTGTCCTTTCAGCTTCTCACGGCTCCTGGAGTCCACTGCTTTGTGGTACCATCACTCCAATCTCTGCCTCCATCCTCATATGGCCTTTCTCTCTGCCTCTTCTCTTTTTCTGACTCTTGCAAGGACTCTCATCACTGGATTTAGAGCCTACCCTAATCCAGGATGATCTCATCTAGAGATGTTTACCTTAATTCTGCAGACCCTTATTCTAAGTCTCATTCTGAGACTCCCCATGGTCACATATTTTTTTTGGGCTGCTATTTAACCCACTATAAAGGAGATATGTAGCAGAGTCCAAAAAAGTCACTCTTTTATTTAAACAGGGAAGCAGGCCTTTGCATTTATCTGTTTTGCAGCAGGACTTCCTGGGGTGAGGGACACACCAGCGGCCAACCTCCCTGAGTCCACATTTCGTGTTCTTCACTGAAGAGGGCTGAGACTCTAGGAATCTGACTAACTGTGGTTTTGCTTTTTGTCTTTTTGTTTCTCTGTTATGGAAGGAGTTTGAGCTCTGATTTAATGTTTTATGGTTATCAGGAAAGCATGCATATTATTTTTCCCTCTTGAAATTAGATTGTGCCAAAAAAAAAAAAAAAAAAGCTTAGTCACCAGCTCTGGACCTGCAGTGGTGCTCAGCGTATCTGTGCTTTCTGGTGGACTCAGAGTCCATGGGAGGGAGTGCTAGCCCCAAGGAGGCACACATGTTTCAAAAAGCCCATAGACTTTTATTTCCAAAAATAACTCCTTCCGAGGGGAAAATGTCAGGCCAGCACCTTGTGGAAAGAGCATCAGCCACCCTGTCAGATGCAGAAAAGCAGGCTAGCTGGGTAGTGGGTGGACAGGCAGCTTCATGCAGGAGGATCTGGATGGGGAGGCACAGAAGACATGGAACCAGTGGGTGGTAGTAAGGTAGCTAGGGTGGTCATAACAAGTCCTATGCAGGTGGATGTGGGTGCCCAGGGCCTGGCTAGGAGCATGGCTGGGAGCCGGAGCGCTAACTTGAAAGGCTGAACACCACTCACTATCTTAGTTTCTTAGTGATGCTGTCACAGAAATACCACAAGTGGATGGTTTCAAAGAATAAAAAATTGTTTTCTCATAGTTCAGAAGTCTGAATTCAGGGCACCGACTCTAGGGGGAAGTTCTTTGTCTGTCGGCTCTGGGGGAAGATCATCATTTCAGCTTCTAAAGTTGTTGTTCCCTGGTTCCTTGGAGATATCCACATAACATCTGCCTTTCCCCCATTTGTGCTTTCTTGTCTCCATTTATGCTGCTCTTTATAAATTCAGGACACAAGCTAACATTGTTATGGACTCATTAATGTAACGAAATTTTATTCCCAAATGGGATTACATCCGTAGGTAAAGAAAGGAGTTAGGATTCCAACATATACTTTGGGGGGGTTACAATTCAGCCCATAAGAACCATGATGGTTCTTTATGTTCTCTTCTCCCCATGAGTCAGAATCAACTCTACAGCAACTAACAACAAATCCATGTTCTGCATGTGATCACTTGTAGCTGGTTCCTGGTACAACGTGACAGTCCCGACCCTGGCCTAGAAGGTCCTACCTAATAGTACCTGCATGCTTCCTCCCCTATTGGGCAAGGCTCAGTTTACTGTTTCTATTTCTGTATGAAGGAGCTCTGGTAGCATAGTGCCTAAGGTACTTGACTGCTAACCAGAAGGCTGGTTCAAACCCACCAGCCACTCCTCAGAAGGAAGGTTGAGCAATCCACTTCCATAGAGATGCCGCCTCGGAACCCAAGGAGGGGTCGCTATGAGTCAGGTCTGACTTGATAGCACATAACAACAACAACATTTCTGTATGAGGAAATTTAATCTCAAATATGAGTAATTTCAAAAGCTCAGGGGTCTTCTTCCCTTGTTATTGTTTGGTACCCTCCTGTCAATTCCAACTCATAGTGACCCCATGTGACAGAATAGAAATGCCTCATAGGGTTTCCTAGACTATAATCTTAATGAGAGCAGGTTGACAGGTCCTTTTCCCTGCGGAGCCACTGAGTAGGTTAGAACTGTCAACCTTTAGGTTAGCTACCGAGTGCTTAACTATTGTGCCACTAGGGTTTCTTCTTGCTTCCCTTGAGAGGTGGTGAAGGGATGGGGTATGTGGTGCCCCCATCTTGCTCTTGGTTCTCCACTGTGCCTCTTCTCTCCCCTCTGCCCTGCAGTTTGATGACATGGCCAGAGGCCTCTCCCCTCCACAGGCAGTGATGGGAGAGTTGAAGCCCTTGCAACAGCAGCACCTCTGGGCCTTCCTGCAGTTGGTGGGGTGCAGCCTGCAGGGCAGGCACCCAAGGCAGGAGGATGCCCTCAGCAACCGGGAGCTCTTTTCAACAGCCTACTTCTTGGTCACTGCATTAGCAGGTAGGAAAAAAAAAAAAAAAAAAAAAAAAACCCACAAAGAAAGAAAATAAATGCCTGCTGTTACTTAGAAATCACTTTGCTTACTGTACATGCTTCTGGGGATATGGAAATTATAACAATTGTGGGAGATTTGGTACATATTGTTTCCTCCCTTTCAGCAGGACAGAGTGGAAAACTGAGGATGTTGACATGATTACCATGAAAATCATAGATTTTAGCACGAAGGAGACCTTTCTGCCCACCTTGAGCCTCCTCCACTATCTCCAAGAGTACTTCCTCTCCTGTGGCTTGGAGAGGGCTGTTGCAGGCACACTTCCTTTCCAACACAAGAAATAACTTATGAAAATGCAGCCTGTGATTCACACATGCCACCTGGTGAGCTGAGTAGCAGTAGCATTCATTGGGTGCCTGATCTCCAGCCTTTCGGCCCACTGATCCTCATGGGCTTGTCCACAAACTTACCTTCTCACCCCACGTGCAATATGGCCACTGTCTGGGGCAGGGAAGGTACTGAGAGTCTCCTGAGGCAGAGCCGAGGGCAGCCCAGCATGGTTTCACAGCTTCCTCACCAGCCATGAAATAGCCCTCCAGGAGCGGTGGCATCCTGTTAGTATGAGTGGTGGGTCAAGAAGAGCAACACAGCCCTCATGCCCCTCCAGAGCTCATCATGCCAGGGGCCTGTGGCATGAGAAGGTGGTCACCTTTTATGAGGAAGCTGGACTTTCATTTCCTACTCAGGAAAGTAACATGTGGCAAAGCAGTCTCCTGGTCCCCACAGCTTCCCTTCAAGGTGATGTGAGTCAGGGCACTGGGTTCCTGATACATTCAGGGTCCCTTCCCAGCATCTCATCTCAGGAATATAGGCCCAGGAATCTTCAGTTTTTAAGGGATTAATCAGAGAGAATGCCTCTGCCAGCTTTATAACCTGATGAATATGTGCTCTATGTCTTGTGTCAAGTCATGGAAAAGAGTTTTGACTGGTTGATTGAGAGAGGACATAGACAAAGTGTGGAACTCCACTAGATACCAGTTCCAGTGTTAACGTCAGTTTACTAACTAGACTGTGGTTCAGGTATTCTGTCAGGTGCTAATCCACAGGCCAGAATTTCCACCTTATAAGCCTTTTCTTCATATAACCTATTACTTATTGAAACATTTTTATCAATAGGCTGAATCAGTGAGGTCAGATCTGTAGCACAAGGCTGATATCAACCCGCCATAGTTCCCTTCCCCCTGAGCCAAGACACAGCCTCAGATTCTCTGCAACCTTGCACATAGGCAGCCTCTGAGTTGACATATAACATCAAACATATTTGCTGTTTCTGAGCTGGAAGCTCAGGGATTATGTATTCTTTAAGCACAACTGAAAATCTCTGTAGCCAATTTCTAAACCAAAGATGCCTTTCCCAGCTCTCTGAACATGTAGATTCTCTCATTTACGTGTAGGTCCCAGCAGAGGTCAGCCCTGGTGGAAAGCTCTTTCATTCATGCCCTCAGTAATCCTTGGCCCTTCTCAGCTGACCTTTTGCTGCTACAACAGCATGATCTTCTCCTTAGAATCTGGGCACAGTGCTGACACAGAAAATGTCTTCTTCTGAGGTCCACTTTCTAGCCTTCTGAGTAAGCACACCCGTTCTCAGTTTTGTAGTGCCTTTCCCTGTTAAAAGTACTTCATTGCCAGCATCTGACCTTTCTCCTAGAAAGCCTGTTTCTCTGCTTTGTGACTTTAAGCAAGTCACTAACTCTCCAAGCCTCGCTTGTACAATAGACATGGCCTGTGCAAGAGCAATCAGAATCATTCATTTTGATTCAAACACCTATACTATGTTTTGAGGAGGACTGATGATGCAGTGGTTTAAGCACTCAGCTCCTAACCAAAAGGTTGGCAGTTCAAACCCATCAGCTGCTCTGCAGGGGAAAGATGGTGGCAGTCTGTTTCTGTAAAGATTTATATAGCCTTAGAAACCCTAGTGGGGCAGTTCTACTCTCCAATAGGGTCTCTATGAGCTGGAATTGGCAGCAGTGGGTTTGTACTATGTTTTAGGCTATGCTGGGGGTAGGGGGGAAAGACCCCAGATTCAAACATGTTCTAGAGAGACCCTTTTCTTTAAACAGAAAAAAGGATGAGGGAAACCATCAGCATGCACATAGTACAGATGCCAAATGGAGTCCACTGATTCATGGCCATGGGGCTGATTATTACATGATAGAAAAAAAAGGAAATCATCACAAAATCAAATCATGACTGGTGGCAGATCAGTTCTTCATTGTTGCAGGCAAGACTACAGAAGTGAAAAAACAACCATGATTAGGACATACACAATTGCAGATTAAAAGCATTCCAGGATTGATTCTAGAGCTTGACCATGTGGCTATGTAGTAGTCAGGGTATGCCTCATCACCATGTGCCCCTGAATCATAGCCATAACATGTTTACAAGACAATACCAGGGCCCCAACCTTTAAATTGGTACATGTGGCTGTTTTTGATAATTCATTAGGGACACACCCAGGTAATTTCCCTAGTTCTTGGTGTGAACATAATCTACTTTACTTTTGGTGAAGAAACTGAAAATACCACGGGCTGCCAGAAGAATGGACAAATCTGTCCTGGACAAAGTGTAGCCAGAATGCTGTTTGGAAGCAAGAATGGCCAGACTTTCTCTCTCCTACTTTGGTCATGTTGTCAGAAGGGACCATTTCCTGGAGAAGCATATCATGCTTAGTAAAGTGAAAAGAGTAAGGCCCTTCACAAAATGGATTGCCACAGTGGCTGCAGTGGATGAGCAAGGATTGTGAGGATGGTACTTGACTGGGCACTCTTTGGCTATACATAGGGTTGCTGTGAGTCAGAGCCAACTCGACAGCACCTACAACAACAGTCTACTTTCAATCACACTCTTCTGGAGGGCACACTGCCCCTCCCTAGGTTTGTCTTGGACTTGTCTAGCATAGTCCCATGCTGGTTTAACCATCAGAAAGAACTCAAAATGTCTGAATTTATGTTAAGACTCAAAATAGAGTTAGGGCTCCCACTGTAGACTGAAGCCTTCCACAAACCAAGTGCTTCAGAGTTTAAGTTCTACTATAAGGCACTGCAAACCCACCAGACACTCCTCGGAAGGAAGGTTGGGCAGTCCTACTTCCGTAGCGATACTGCCCCGGAAACCCAAGGAGGGGTCGCTATGAGTCGGGGCCGACTCGACAGCACATAACAACAACAACAACATAAGGCAGTGCTAGACATAGAGGTAGGAAGCAACATAGGGTTCTCGCCCCAAAAGAAAATCAGGGTTGGGTAGTAGCATTAGATGGTAAGCTTTATGAGTCAGAGGCTGTTTTTCAATCCCATAACCACAGCACCTACCCCTATACCAGAATAAAAACCTAACCAAACCAGTTGTTGTGAAGTCTGTTCCAACTCAAGGCAACCCCATGTGTGTCAGAGTAGAACTGGGCTCCGTAGGGTTTTCAGTGGATAACTTTTCAGGAGTAGATTGCCAGGCCTGTCTTCTGAGGAGCCTCTGGGTGGATCCAAACTGCCAACCTTTTGGTTAGCAGCTGTGCACTTGACCATTTCTGCTACTGAGGGACTACATACTTAGTATAATGAGTAACTAAAGTAGTAATGAGGAGCTCTGGTAGCGTAGTGCCTAAGGCACTTGACTGCTAACCAGAAGGCTGGCGGTTCAAATCCACCAGCCACTCCTCGGAAGGAAGATGGGGCAATCTACTTCCGTAGCGATACTGCCTCGGAAACCCAAGGAGGGGTTGCTATGAGTGGGGGCTGACTCAATGGCACGTAATAACAACAACAGCAGAGTAACGTGGAACCAACAGGTTATAAGAACAAGAGATCATGATTATATGGAACTTAGGAACCCCCTGAAAAGTGACGCGACTGATGCATGGACAGGTAGATGTCTATGTTAGTGGCTCATCCAGGACCCCACACCCCAGGTGACTTTGTCCACCAGACCACGTATACTTTCCACCTTCATATTCTTGGTTTCAGGTAATGGCCTGAGGATTTGTTGCAAACTGTAGGCTTTCTCTGTAGGAGAATGCACATGCAACATTTAATGTCATTTTAAGGAGTTCTCTGGTGACATCATCCCCTCTCCCCTCCTGGGGTGCCCCAACATCCTGGCTGTCTCCACCCTCCCCTGGAAAGGCGCCACCATCGTCCACTGAGCTCTGCTGGGTCACAGCCTCAGCAAAAAGCTGCTGCATTTTATAAATAAGGCTGCTAATGAATGCATGTTTCATGAGTTCATAAACAGTCCAGATGACTCAGCAGTTGACTCCTTTTCTCTTTTGCTTTTGAGGCTCAAAGGGTGACTGTTGATAGCCCAAGGAAATTGGGGTCCTTTTAGGAACTGCATCTGTTTTGCCCTGGGAGGCCTTCCTTTAGAATACAGTTTTGAATACCACTGACTTGTATTTCCTTTGTCTGGGGCTCAACAAAGAAGCTCTCTCATGGCTTAGTGCCTAAGGCATTTGACTGCTAACCAGAACGTTAGCAGTTAAAACCCACCAGCCACTCTGCAGAAGGAAGACTGGGCAATCTACTATAAAGATTTACCACCTTGGAAACCCAAATGGGGGTCCCTATGAGTAAAAATCAACTCTGTGGCAGTGAGTTTTTGGGTTTGGGGCTCAGTATGGCCCTCCTGGTGCAGCCTCCACCCTCCTCCACCCTCACACAGCTCTGCACCACCTCCCTCTGCCCCTGGGGTCCTTGTGCATTTCCCACTGAGTTCGTAGTAGGCCAGGGTACCCTGGACAGCCCTGGCCTAGGACACCTGTCCCACCTCTTAGCTTGCATTGGGTTTTCCTCCTCATATGATTGGTGATGTAGGTAGAACTCTTTCTAGTTTATGTAGTGCACTGACGTATATAAAAAAAAAACAACCCTACAATAAATCAAATAAGGAAACTGAGGCTCAGAGAGGTCTACACAAGGCCACACTTCTAATATTTAAACTCAAAAAACTCACTGCCATCAAGTCAATTTGGACTCATAGCAGCAACCTTTGGGTTTCTGAGGCAGTAAATTTTTACAGAAGTAGATTGCCCAGTCTTCCTTCTGCGGAGCGGTTGGTGGATTTGAACCGCCAACCTTCTGGTTAGCAGTCAAATGCCTTATGCACTATGCCAATTTAAACATAGATCCTCGGTCCCCAAACCCCAGGTTGTTTGTATTTTCCCACATGGATTCCTTTGCCCCTGAGTCTGCATGGTTCTTCACTGAATGGCAAGCACTATCCTCTGGTGAAACAGCTGGTTACTGGGCTCCTATAGCTGTTTCCAAAAAGGCCTTTGCTGCCTGTTTAGCACCATTTGTTCATTTATTCAGCATTTATTGAGCACCTACTCTGCCAGGCTGGGGCAAATTTATGTACAATTTATGTACTAATGTACATAATTATGTACAATTTATGTACTAATGCATAAATTAGGTAAAATCCTATACAGGATCCTAACAGGGCTGGCTCTGTTCCCATTGACTTGTTTTTGGAAAATAACTGATTTTTTTCTCCTGCAGAAATGCCAGATAATGCAACAGCTCTGCTGGGCACTTGCTGTAAGCTCCAGATTATTCCTTCGCTGTGCCACTTGGTAAGGAACTTTCAGATGGGGATGGTAGGATTGGGGAGATGGGGACATAGATGCTTACTAGCTGATAAAACACCACTAGGTTTTCTCATCCAAGATAAACCTGTTGCCCCTGAGTTGACTTATAATGACCCTATAGGACAAGGTAGAACTGCCCCATAGGGTTTCCAAAACTTTAAATCTTTACAGGAGTGGATTGCCACATCTTTCTTCCACAGAGCAGCTTGTGGATTTGAACTGCTGACCTCTTGGTTAGCAGCTGAGGGCTTAACTTGAACCACTAGGGCTCCTTCCCCTTCAAGATAGGTTAAACAAACAAGCAAACAAAGAAACAAATGTGTTGCCCTTGATTTGTTTCCAAGTCACGGGGACTCCATGTGTTACAGAGTAGCACTGCTCCAAAGCGTTTTCTTGGCTTTGATCTTTATGGAAGCAGACCACCAGGTCTTTCTTCCATGGGGTTGCTGGGTGAGTTTGAACTGCCAACTTTTAGCTTAGCAGCTGATCACAAACAGCTTGTGCCACTCAGGCTCCTTGAAGGTTGATTAAACAGTTATTAACTGCACTTGTATATACACACACACACACACATAAACACATACAAATGTGCATGCCCAGAGACTGAGGCCTAGAGAGAAAAAATTTTGTCTGAAGAACCTCCTAGCCCAGCTAGGACTCCAACTCTGCATTCCAAATCGCATGTTCTCCCCTTCATTTGGAGAGAATCTTGGCCAAGGCTGGTCTTGATGCATCATTGCAAGGAAGGGTCCTGGCACCATATTATTTGCAATGACAGTTCTGTGCTGAGACCAGTCTTTTTCTGCTGTGCATCAGATTCACTGGGAGGTATTCAAGAAGACTGCTTTGTCTCTGAAAGACCTAAACAGCCTTTCTCATTCTCTACTAAGAATATCATTAGCTTGGTGCCCTTAGGACATGTCATCACAAGAGCAAGAGTAAGGTAGTGATGAGCTCAGCCCCAGAGGGTCAAGGTTAAGTTTTCCTTTTTAAATTAGAAATTGGGTCATTAATAAAAGGAACCATCAACAGGCTGCCCGGAGATCACTGTAATGTGGCCTCTGCAGGTGCTGCTCTGCCTAGGGTAGAGGAGCAGAGCACAGCTCGCCCAATTATTTGAAGGTCCAGTGACTAAGGGCCCAGGCCAGCATGTTAGGTGGACCCAAGGACCACAGCTCAAAGCTCTGTGCTCAGATCTGGGAAGCAGGTGTTGAGGTGGACTACCTACACACCAAAGTTGCTGTTAAGTCAACTGTGACTCATGATGACCGGGTATATGTCAGAGTAGATGATTTTCTGGAGAGTAAATCACTAGGCCTTCCAGGGTGCTTGGGTGGACTCGAGCCAGAACCTTTTGGTTAGTAACCAAACATATTAACCGTTTGTCTCACACAGGAACTCCAGACTACCTAGATGCTGTTGTTTGTTGTTATGTACCATCGAGTTGGATCTGACTCATAGCCACTCCTCCTTGGGTTTCCGAGGCAGTATCACTATGGAAGTAGATTGCCCCATCTTCCTTCTGAGGAGTGGCTGGTGGGTTGAACCAGCCTTCTGGTTAGCAGTCAAGTGCCTTAGGCATTATGCTACCAGAGCTCCCGACTACCTAGATGTTGTTGTTGCTGTTGTTGTTATGTGCTGTCAAGTCGGACCTGACTCATAGCGACCCCTCCTTGGGTTTCTGAGGCAGTATCACTATGGAAGTAGATTGCCCCATCTTCCTTCTGGGGAGTGGCTGGTGGGTTTGAACCTTCTGGTTAGCAGTCAAATGCCTTAGGCACTACGCTACCAGAGCTCCCGACTGCTTAGATAGGACCCTGAAATTTTTTATGCATCTCCTCTGGGCACATTGAACACTATAGCAGGTGCTGTTGATACCTCCTTGGGGAACAGTGACAGTGGAAGAATGTCCTGGCATCATTCTAGGGGGAAGTTTAAACTTCACTCACAAATGAAACCAGATTCCACCCATCCAGGGAAGTGCTACTTTCTTGTACATTGACCACAACAGCTTGTAAATGTGCCTGTGTGTGTGCTCTGCTGCCAGATGAGGGTAAAGGGTGGTGGCTAGCTCAGCTGTGGAAACAATATGTATCATTAGCCTAATTGTACGCATTGATGAGCAAGGCTGCTTCCATTGCCTGCTCACTCTTGGAGCAGCTGATGCTCAGCATTTACTAAGTATTTACAGAGTCATCAACTGCGTCCGGAAGTATATGAAGTGAAAATGCTGCCTAGACCACATTGGCTGACTCCTCCCCCAGCACATTCACACTTAGTTGTCATCTTCCTGCCCTTCAGCTCTATGATTTTATTTTTCTGTTGCCTCCAAATTTTGCTTTAGTTGGAATTCTAAGAGTAGCTACTGGAGCACACTCTTAAGTTCCTAAGTAAAAGGTATCTGCTTTTGCATAGGACTGCCCACCTGCAAAAAGGAGCTCTGGTGGTGCAGAGGTTAAAGCATTTGGGTACTAACCCAAAGGTCAGAAGTGGTTCGAACCCACCAGCTGCTCCAAGGGAGAAAGATGAGACAGTCTGCTTCCGTAAAGATTTACAGCCTTGGAAATCCTACGGAGCAGTTTTACTACGTCCTATAGGGTTTAGTGCCTAAGCCACTTGACTACTAACCAGAAGTCTGGAGGTTCAAACCCACAAGACACTCCTTGGAAGGAAGGTTGGGCAATCTATTTCCATAGTGATACCGCATCAGAAACCCAAGAAGGAGTCACTGTGAGTCAGGTCCGACTCCACGGCACATAACAACAACAACATAGGGTTGTTAAGAAGCTCTGGTAACACAGTGCCAAAGGCATTTAACTGCTAACCAGAAGGTTGGTGGTTCAAACCCACCTGCCATTCTGTGGGAGAAAGACTGGGCAATCTACTTCCGTAAAGATTTACTGCCTCAGAAACCCAATAGCGGTTGATATGAGTCAGAATTGACTTGATGGCAGTGTGTTTGGTTTGGTTTATAGGTTGTTAAGGAACTCTTGTGGTGTAGTGGGTAAGTCATTTGGCTGCTAACCAGAAGGTCAGTGGTTCAAATCCACCAGCTGCTTCATAGGAGTAAGATGAGGCAGTCTTCTTCCATAAAGATTTACAGCCTTGGAAACCCAACGGGGATCACTATGAGTCAGAATCAACTCAGTGGCCGTAGGGTTTTTTTGTTGGTTTATAGGGTTGTTATGAGTTAGAATTAACTTGATGGCAGTGGGTGGTGGTGGGGATTCCCCTGAAAAGGAGTCCCTGTGTAGCGCAAATGATTAAGTGGTCACTGTTAACAGAAAGATTGGCAGTTTGAACCCACCCAGAGCTGCTTTGGTAGACAGAACTGATGGTCTGCTTCTGAAAGGTAACAGCCTTGAAAACCCTGTGGAGCAGTTCTACTCGGCACACATGGAGTCCGCACGAGTCAGGGCTGACTCAAGGGCACCTAGTTACCCATCGACAGAGGTATTTCTTTGTTGGGGCTGCTCAACACAATAAAATAAATGAATTTTCTTTAAAGCCTTCCTGGATGTCTTCACATAATCTCCCCTTAGACATTACAACAGCTCTTCTCAAGATAGGGAGGCTCCTGCCTCTTGAAGGAATTTAAGTATCATGTATTTCTTAGAGACTCACTTAGGGCACAAAATCTCCCACAATCCTAGTCTTCTTTTGTCTGGTGGTCAAAGTAACTTCAAGAGTGGCTTTTTGGAATACAGTGTCACATACAGAAACACCTTTGCCCAGAACTGGTAAAAGGTAAGTTAGAGTCATCAATGTTGTTGTTAGGTGACATCAGGTCAGTTCCAACTCACAGACCCCATGTGATAGAGTAGAACTGCCCCATAGGGTTTTCTAGGCTGTAATTGTCACAGAAGCAGATAGCTGGGTATTTCTCCCACAGAGCCTCTGGGCGAGTTCGAACTGGCAGCCTTTCAGTTGGCAGCCAAGTGCTTAACCACTATGGCACCTGGGCATCTTGAGTCCACCATGGATGACTTTAATTCCTTTTATACGAAAAGTACCTGTGGCAGATGGGGTTGTTGGATGTTTAGAGAAGGAAGCTGGATGCTGCCGAGCACTTCTTAACTGGACTGTGAAGATGCCAACCACCCTTCTGCGCTGGTGGCGCTCATTGTGTCACCACCAGGAGGTGGACCTTGTGCTTATGACCTAGGCCTAATCCACTCTCTAAAGCACAAGTGATGCTTTACAGCCTGGGCCAAATGGTGATGCTAGACCTGTGGTTACACGGTATGAACTGTAATTGGCAAATCTTCAAGGTGTTGATTCGTAAGGCTGATTTTAATAATAGACACTCAAATGCTTTTATATTCAAATGAGGGCTGCCTTCAGTCACTTGGGCGAGTGGCATGTTCCTTTCAGGAAGGTTGCTATTGCTCAGAACATTTCTGGAATTGTTTGTTTGGAATTCCCTTTACACCCAGTTGAAATTCATGCCTACTTTAGAGGCTTATTTCTTTTTTTTTTTGTTATAAATATGACTTTCCACATTGTTAATCTGCTTCGGTCCTAAATGACTGTTTCAGAATCAAATCTGGCAAACTTGTATTTACTGAAGATATTTGAAGTAATAATAGTGCCACAGGCCCTGATTAAGACAATGAAAGTTTCAACTATGTCTTGAGTAGTGACCTCATTGGAATTAGAGCTGCTTCTGAAGTGACCTCTTTGAAGAACCAATAATCATTTGATACATTAGTGTCTGTTTTAGGCAGGATAAATGGTGAGCAAGACAGACAAGGTCCCTGTCTCATTAGCAGCTGATGTTCTAGTAAGGGGAAACAGACTAACCAGTGAAAATCACAAAGATAATGTAGATAGTAAGTTTATGAAGACAACAATGGAGTAATAGAATAGTGGCTGGGATCTGGGGTGGTTGTAATATGCCATTGAGTCAAGTCCAACTCATAACAACCCTATAGAACTCATAGAACCAGAGTAAATGTGCTGTATAAGGTTTCCCAGCCTGACATCATTACAGGGCAGATTGCCAGGTCTTTTCTCTTGCAGAAAAATTCCCACTGCCATCGAGTCGATTCTGACTCATAGTGACCCCTACTGGGTCTCTGAGTCAGTAAATCTTTAAGAAAGTAGATTGCCCAGTCTTGCTTCCACAGAATGGCTGGTGAGTTTGAACCACCAACCTTCTGGTTAGCAGTCAAATGCCTTTGGCACTGTGCTACCAAACCAGAGCTTCTTAACAACCCTATAGAACATGGTAAAAATGCTCTGTAGGGTTTCCAAGGCTATAAGTCTTTACAGAAGCAGACTGCCTCATCTTTCTCCTGTGGAGCAGCTAGTGGGTTCAAACCGCCGCTGACCTTTTGGTTAGTACCCAAATGCTTTAACCTCTGCACCACCAGAGCTCTTTTTGCAGGGTGGATGGTTTTGTGCAAAAGCAGATACCTTCCACTTAGGAACTTCGAGTGTGCTCCAGTAGCTACCCTTAGTATTCCAACTAGAACAAAATTTGGAGGCAACAAAAAAATAAAATCATAGAGCTGAAGTGCAGGAAGATGGGTTCAAACTAGAGGGATTCAAACTGCCAACCTTTTCTTTAGCAGCCAAGCACTTAACCATTGCGCTAACAGGAATCCTTGATTGGGGTATGGAGTAGCTAGATGGAGAAGGGATTGGGAAAGGCCTTTCTGATGTGGTATTTCAACTGATGAATGATGAGAGGGAAATATATATGAAAATCTGGAGAAAGTGTGTTCTGGGTCGAAGGAAGAGCAAGGGCAAAGGTTCTTGAGATAGGAAGCATAATCAAATAAACCATAGCACCTACCTTTGAGGAAGTCATGCAAATATATAAGATGTTCTGATATGTTCATTCAGATGAAAGAAACAACCTCTACATACCCTCTGATCAAGAAAGGGTATACTCTGACTCCTATAATCTGCATGAGTAAATTAAATTTTACCAGGTAAAAGGTTGTTGTTGTTGTTATGTGCTGTCGAGTCAAACCCGACTCATAGCGACCCCTCCTTGGGTTTCCGAGGCAGTATCACTACGGAAGTAGGATTGCCCAACCTTCCTTCCGAGGAGTGGCTGGTGGGTTTGAACCACCAGCCGTCTGGTTAGCAGGCAAGTGTCTTAGCCACTGTACTACCAGATAAAAAGTAGAGTTTAGAAAGTAGAGATTCAGACAGGTGACTCTGGGGAAATGGGATAAAATTAGGTCTGAGGTCCTGGCTTGGGACAAGGCTTTGTTACATCTTAATGGTTTTTCTGCTCCATTTGGAAGATTTAGAAAACAATGTATTTTTTTTCCCCATAATTACGTAGAACGGCATTACTGTCCAGCCATGTGGATTTTCTAGTACATTTTAAAAATGAGCTCATTTCAGTGTGTAATTTCAGCTTCGTGCTCTGTCTGCTGATGGGTTGTCTGATCTTGAAGACCCATCCTTGGCTCCTCTGGTAGACACAGAAAAGTTTGGGATTGTGCAGCATTTGTTTGCCTTGGCCGACATCAGTCTGGAGAGACTGCAGTCATCTGTGAAAGCTGTCATCCTGAAGGACTCGAACGTTCTCCCGCTGATTCTTTGCATTGCCCTTATTGGACTCTGTGCTTTAGGCAGAGGACATGAGTAATGTCATGGGTTAGCAGTACATGGTATTAGCCAAGCCTGGGTGTTTTTCAGCAGCTGTTAAGATGCCACTTTGGATTTTGGTCAGTTCCATGTTAACTGATCAATGAAATGAATTTACAAAACAGTTTTTATAAGTGGTGCACTATGAATGACCTCACTTTTAACAAGCAGGTACTGGTAAACAGCTCTTCTTTTTGAGGCCTTCTGGAGCTGGTGACCCAGTGTCTAAGTTAAATCCCAGCACCTGAAAGAGCAAACCAGTTGCTGTCAAGTCAGTTCTCATTCATGGCGACTCCATACTCATGTCTGGGTGGAACTGTGCTCCAGAGGGTTGTCAGTGGCTGACATTTTGGAAGCAGACTGCTAGGCCTTTCTTCTAAGGTGCCTCTGTGTGGACTCAAACCTCCAACGTTTCACTTAGCAGCCAAGTGTGCTAATCCTTTGCACCACTCAGGGACTTTTCAAGAGCATAAGGGTGTACTAAATCAGAGGAGAGTTGAGAATTCTAAGCTAACTACATTCCGATCTTTTTTTTTTTCCTTAAGAAAAATCACATTTCTTGCTTTCTGTTATACAAAAATAGGAGACTAGCATTTTGATCCAAAAATTCATTTTAAATGGTGAGTGCTCTGGGAAGCAATTTCTCTGCATAGAAGAGCTATTTTGAATGTACTGTATGTTATATGGTGATTGACAAATGAACTGTAAATGCCACTAGAGTACAGATACTCCTCTGCTAAACAAGATTATATTAAAAAAAAATCTAATCATAAGACACCCCTGCTTGGTATTCTAGGTATATGCATTTTACTTTCCTTGCTATTCTTTGATTAAAGGAACCCTGGTGGTGCAGTGGTTAAGCACTCAGCTAACTGAAAGGTTGGTGGTTTAAACCCACCAGCCACTCTATGGGAGAAAGATGTGGCAGTGTACTTCCATAAAGATTTCAGCCTAGGAAATGCTATGGGTAATTCTCATCTGTCCTACACGGTCACTGTGAGTCAGAATTGATTCAATAGCAATGAATTTTTTTTTTTTTTTTTTAATTCTTTGATGAACATACTAAGTCTGTGTTCAAAATAATATATTGATTTCCCATGCATTCTGAGAACTTAATTTATAAAATACTATATAGAATATCAGAGGAAACTCTGGACTGTGTATGTTTGCTTTTTATTCTGTTTTGACATCCTTCTACTACAAATAGCCTGTGTGGTTTCCCTGGTGTCCCCGATTCCCTTGGCAGCATCTGCTAATACTTTTTGGGGACCTGAAGCCACTTCTGCTTTCCCTTAGCAAACAGCAGCTAAGACCAGGAGCTATAATTTGCTTTACTTTCAGAGGAAGGAGGCAGTGGGGGACAGGAGTAGCAATTGTGGGATAAACAGCAGGTTATCTAGCACATGTTCTTTTTTACCACCAACATCATCTACTTATTCCTTCCCGACTTTCAGATTTTAATGCATGTTAACAAGGAAGAGATGAGGCCGATACCCCTTTTCTCACCTCTATTAAAAATGAGACTGGTAATGTTTATAGATAATTTGGAAATGGAGAGTGGTGAAAGTTGCACAGTTAGGATGGATGAACCTAATCCATGAATTGTACCTGTGAAAAATGTTGACATAGCAAATGTTTTGTTATGTATTTATAATGAAAAAGGAGACTCAACCTTATGCAAATATGGGGGAAAAAGGGATACAAACTTGTATATTTTAGTGGCAACTATATAAAAATAAGCACCTTATACAAAAAGATTGGAAATGTACATGCAAGTGACTATAGTTGTGCTACCATGGTGGTGGCACTTTTTGTCTGATTTTCTGAAATAGGAATAAAGAACAAAATGCAAATGTATGCTGTAAACCTCCTTGTGTGAAAAAACAGATTGATATATGTATTGACCTGTATAGAAAAATATCTTTCATTACTCAGTTTTTATTTGTAAGATTTTGGATTTTGTCAGTTTTTTTTTTTTTGGCTAATGGAATGTATGCTGAACAATTGGTTGTTTTAAAATTTTTGCTAGATAGAATGAATTTTGATAAATATTATATGGGACATTATGTCCCAGTGGGCTCTGGTGTTAGGATAGGTGGTATGAGGCATGGAAAAAATATTCACTTGAATATTACCTAATCCTGAACGCTGCACCTTCCCAGGAAACAATCAATATAAGTTTTATGTCACTGTACATAAGCCCAGAGAGACAAAAGTTTTACAGTCATTCCTCCAGGATGCACTATCTCATACAGTAACCTCTCAACACTCTATGTCACCAGTGAATTCCTTCTGCCCCAATGCCAGTACATACTATACGTGGGAAGAGTCCTCTCAAGAAACTCCAGAAGTGGAAAATATAAGTGGCGTTTACATGTATCATGGATTACAAAAGAGAGTTCACAAGAAGCCTAACAGTGGCTACTTTGGGGAGAGAGATTTAGAGATGAGTACAGTGCCTAAGGCATTTGCTTGCTAACCAGAAAGTTGATGGTTCAAATCCACAAGCCGCTTTGCAAAAGGAAGACAGGACAATCTATTTCCATAAAGATTTACCGCCTCGGAAACCCAATGGAAGTCACTATGAGTTGGAATCGACTTGATAGCAGTGGGTTTGGTTTTTTAGTTTTTTAAAGGCCAGAATGTTTTACCCATTTGTTCCTGTTTGAATTTTGTGTACCTTATCTGTGCAATTGAAAAACCAGAAAACTAACAATTTCAGACAGAAAGAAAAGATGCCAATCCAGCAAATGCCTAAGGTTTGGGTTGCTTCAAACAAAGACAACTAAGGACTTTGGCTGATTCTACAATTGCCCTGTTCCAGTTACCTAGTGCCACTCTGACAAGAATATACCACAAATGGGATGGCCTTACAAACAGAAGTTTATTCTTAAAATTTGGAGGCTTTAAGTCCAAGTTCAAAGTGCCAGGCTCTAGGGGCTAGGTGAAAGCCCCTTAACCTTGGGGTCCAGCTCTGCCTCCTGCTCCTGGCCCACTGGAGCTAGAGGCATTTCTTCACTCAGCTGCTAGCTGCTGAGGCTGAGAAGCCCCAAGGTTGACAAGTAAAAAGGCACAGTCCCAATGTTGCCAAACCACACGGTGTGCCATTACTTAGGTCCATTGTAAGTCCCAAGGTCGGTAGCCCACAGCAGGCTGCTGAGCAACGACAGAGCTACACGCAGGGTCCAAGTGTGCCATAGGCCAGAGACCATTCTCAAAGCTTCTCCTTATATATGGGAAGCAGACCACATGCCAAAGGCAGCTACTCAGCTGTTTGTGGTAGATCCCACCATGGAGCTGACTGCCAGTCTCATCATGGGGAATAACTACCACCAGCTGCCCAGCCACTCAACCAGGCCCAGCCAAGTTGACATGTTAACACAACTACCACATGCCCTAAGACAATTTATATTGAATTGTGTTTTAAAAATCAGCTGTTGAAAAGTGGGTAGTTCTGTTCCCAGCCCTCAGTTACCGCCGGGCTTCTTAGCAGCTGCCTGCTATAGGGATGTGGTGTCATGGTAGTGCTGCGCCTGCTTGTAGTGAGGTGAGATTGGAACTCAAGATTTTCTTCAAACTAGACAGAATTTAAGTTCCTACATCATTAAAAAAAATTAAGAAATTTCCCTAGAATAGTACAGCACGATCCCTTTAACTTTGAGGTTTCCATCCACAAAAGCAGACCATTCCTCTTCCATATATGAGATGCGAGGAATATCACTGGCATTAGCTAGTGTGGTAGGCCCAATAATGGCCCCTCAAGATGTTCATGTCCTAATCAGAACCTGTGAATATGTTACCTTACATGGTAAAAAGGGATCTTGAGATGGGGAAATTTTCCCTTAAAAGAAGGTAGGCAGAAAAGTCAGTGAGTGAAATAAGGCCAAGGAGCATGCAGGAGAGGTGTGACAAGGATTCCACCCATCAGTCCTGGCTTTGAACACAGGGCACCACATGCCAAGGTATGTGGCCAGTCCCAGCCCCTAGGAGTTGAGTACGACCTCTAGCCAGCAAGGAAAAGGAGACTTCAGTCCTACGACCGCAGGACTGAATTCTGGCAATGACCTGCATAAGCCAGAATCTCCTCAGGCTTTCAGGTTAGAGCTCAGACAGGCCCCACTGACACCCTCATCTTAGGCCAAGTGATACCTATTTATATAGACTTTGAACAAATGAACTGTCAGATCATGAACTTGTGTTGTAATTTATCACAGTTTCAGGAAAATAAGACAAGTATTTTAAGATCGAAGAATATGAAACCACTATCTTGCAGACATCAGAATTACACTGCACTAGTAGAGGGAGCTCTGGTATCATAGTGGCTAAAGCACTTGACTGCTAACCAGAAGGCTGGCGGTTCAAACCCACCAGCCACTCCTCGGAAAGAAGGTTGGGCAATCCTACTTCCATAGTGATACTGTCTCGGAAACCCAAGGAGGGGTCGCTATGAGTCGGGGCCTACTCGACGGCACATAACAACAACAACAACAAGTAGAGTCTCAGCGACCCCTCCTTGGGTTTCCGAGGCAGTATCACTACGGAAGTAGATTCCCCTCCAGGGGAACTCTCTTTGCTGGGCAGCTTAAGTGGCTATAGTCTGCCATCACTTCCAAATATGGAAGCCTTTTCTTCTTTTCTTGATGCTATATTCTAATCTTCCCCACATCTGCAATTCTTTCCTTGCTTCTTCCTTGAGCTTCTCTTCTTTGACAGCCCTTGGGCTACAGTGAGAAGAAACAATGGTTAGGGTTTCCTTGTTGAAGGAGAGAGCCAGGTGGAAACTGTAAGGCATTAGAGGCTTTTACACAGACTTTAGCATTCAAATGATTACCAAAGCTTATCTGATGTCCTCTGTATTTGATTATCTCTAAACAATAGTTCCACCTATAAATGAAACACTACATTTTCCAATATTAAATATTTATTTCCTTATATATACAAAAATATTTTACTAGGATATATTTAATCTCACAGATTGAACATTTCAATATTTTTTGGACA